TCTCTCACGGCAGGAGGAGTGAGTTTTGTCTAAAGAGGAGGGCTGTGGGGTGGGAAACTGGGCCTGCAACCTAGAGTGGAGGCAGGGCTAGGCTGGGGCAGTGTTTCCTGTGGGTGGCCCAGCCGTTGGTTTCCTACGTTTGCAGACTGGCTGAAAATTCAGTCTTCTGGGGTGGTCCGAAGGTGGCTTTTGCCTGCAGGGCTTAGAAGAGTGGGGCAGAACGTCTTGGGCCTCAGGCTGTGGGCGTGGGCTGCCTGGTTTGGTTTCTGAAGGAAGTCATCCGAAGGGTGGAGAGGATGTGGTCCCTTAGGATTCTGCCATATCTTCTAGGGGCTTGCAGATCTGAAGTGGCTCATTGATGGTCAGGGCCAGGCTGCTTTTCTGCCCGGAGGACAACACTTCAGCCTACCAGTGGGGAGTGGGGAACTCCTCCTTCTCTGTCCTTGTATCTGAAGTTTTTCCTGCCCAGTCGCTTGGGAGGCGGGAAATTGGGAGCCAGGGAATCCTGGCCAGGAGGCTGGAAGGAAAGTTCCGGCATTGAAGAATTAACCGGAAATCTGTGCATCACTCTTTTCTTCCAGGAAACACCAATTGGGATATGGGCCTGTTAAAACCGGGATTTAATTTCACAGCTACATGGAAATGGGCTCAAGGTTTCTGGAGGTGTTGGGGTGCCTGGCTTCTAGGAACAAGGCCAGTGACGGGTGCTGGCAGGGGCTGGGCGTCTTCCCAGGAGAGAGCCAGCATCCTGTTCCCCTCAGAGGCCCTTTGCAAGTCAGCCCCGAGAGCGCAGGGCCCAGAGGCTGGATTTGGGAGCTGAGGTTTTGGCCAGGATTAGAGGAGTGTGCTGTGCGGTGGAGGGTCCTGTTGGAGTAGCTGGCATGAGAGGTTGCACGCCTGAGGCTTTGGGCTGCGAGGGGCCTTGTGGTCTGGAACCCACAGGCCTCCCAAGTCATGGGTCGGAGTGTTGGCGGGACGGTGCCTTTGTGGGTTGTGTGTCCCGCAGAGCCAGCAGAGAGCAGAAGTGGGCTGTGGATCCTCGAGTGGCAGGATGTGCTCAGCTGGGGCCATATTGGTGGATGACGCTATTCAGAGCCGTGGGCTGTGCCCCGTATTTGATTTTCAAGAAATTGTATTTGGAAATAGCCTTGGGCTTACAAAAAAGTTCCAAGAGTAACTTGCAAATGATCTAGGACATTCATACATACTCCCCTTCCCTGGATTCTCCTGTTGTTAACTTTTGTTTCACTTGCTCTCTCCGTGTGTGTGTGAGTGTGTGTGTGTGAGTGAGTGTGTGTGTGTGTGTGTGTGTGTGTGTGTGTGTGTGTGTGTGTGAGAGAGAGAGAGAGAGAGAGATGTTTTTGTTCTGAGCCATTTTTTGAAGTTGCCTCTGTCATGGCCCTCTACCTCCAAGTGTTTGAGTATGGATTGCCTGAGAACTGGGATGTTCTCTCACATGACCTCAGTGACTGCCAGTCCGTTAACACTGATGCTTTAGTCTATGGTGTGTATTCCAGTTTTGTCACTTTAACCAGTAATGACTAAAAAAAAAGTTTATTGAGGCTTAATTGGATACAATAAACTGCACATACGTATGATGTGCAGTTTGGAGGTCTTGACATCTGTGTCCACCTGTAAGGGTATCACCGCACTCAAGATGACACACGTGTCCTCTTCCCGAGCGTTTCCTCACGTCCCTTGTGATGCCTCCCCACTGCTCCCCTCTTCCGTCCCAGGCAACCACTGACCTGCTTTCTGTCAATACAGTGTCTGTTTTCCAGAGCTTTATGTAAGTGGAATCGTAGTGTATGTACTCTTCTTTCACATTGTGTAATTATTTTGGAATTCATCCGTGTGTTGTGTGTATCAGCAGTTTATTCCATCTTATTACTGAATATTATTTCATCTGTGGGTAAACCACACTTTGTTTATCCATATTCCCCTGCTGATGGGACGTTTCGGGTGATTATGAATAAGCTGCTGTGAGCATTCCTGTTTCTTTGTGGACCTGTGTTTTCGTATCTCTTGGCTGCGTCCGGTGGAGTGCACTGGCCGGGCTGTACGGAAACTCTGTGCTTCGCATTTTGACCAACTGCTTTAAAAGGACATGAGAGCCACGCCTTGCATCATATGCAAGAATTAACTGAAATCATAAACCTAAATGTAAAAACTTGTAGCAGAAAACAGGGAAAAATCTTTGTGATCTGGGGTTAGGCAAAGATTTCTTAGCTATTATGCCACAAGTATGATCTATAGAAGAAGAAAAAAAAGTTCTGACAACAGGACATTATCAAAACTAAGAACTTCTTTCAACACTTAGATAATAAGACAGGGTTCTATGTTTTTTTGCCAATTTGATGAGTGAGAAATGTGATCTCAAGATAGTTTTAATTTGTATTTTCCTACTGTGAATGAAGTTGAATGCTGTTTCATATGCTTGAGGGCCCTTTTAATATATTTATTGTGAGTCTTTGGTCCATTTTCTGTATTAATTCTTTTGGCCTTTTCTCCTCAATTTTTAAAAGTTTTTTAGCTTTTAGATATTGGGTCTTTAATTGTAATACATGTTGCAAAAAGTATCTCCCATTTGTAGTTTGTCTTTTAGCTTGCTTATGGAATTTTCATCCTTGCATAAGTGTTTCAAGTAGTTAAATCTGTCAGTCTTTTATTGCATCTGGTGTTTAAGTCGTGCTTAGAAAGCCTTTCCCTACTCCCAGGTTATGGAAGAATTTACCCATGTTTTCTGTAGCACATCTATAGTTTTATTTTTTATATTTGGAGCTCTAATTCACTTGGAAGGTGTGTACAGGTCTAATTGTACTTTTTTCCAAATAGCCTTTCTTGGCCCATTTAGTGTTGCTATAATAGAATACTGGAGACTGGGCAGTGTGTAAAGAAAAGAGGTTTATTTGGCCAGTGGTTCTGGTGACTGGAAAGCTCAAGATGGGCAGCCGTCTGGCGAGCATCTCCTGTTGCTCAGCTAATGGCAGAAAGTGGAAAGGAGGTGGGGGTATGCAGAGGGCTGGGCTTGCCGACCACTGCCTGCTGTCCCTTGGGAACTCACTCACCGATGGCAGTGTCTGTCCTGAGTGGCCAGCCCCATGACCAGGCACCTACCGCACCACTGCCTGGGGATCCGATTTCACCACAAGCTGCTGAAGGGGAGACCATTTTCAAACCATAGCATGGCTGTATAATTATTATAGCTCTGCTGATAAGACCTTTGCCCCAGGAACTTTGAATACCACCTTTATCATGGACGGTCTCTGTGTATAGTGAGTCTGTTTTCTGGAGTTGAAATTCTGCTACGTGGGATGTTGCTTATTTGTTTACTGGTACCACACACAGTTTTAACTACAGAGGTTTTCTGGTATACAGTACTTTACTACCTAGCAGGACTAGTTCCTCTTCACCGCTCGTTGTTATTGTTTTCCTAGGTGTTCTTGTGTCTTTTGTTTTTCATGCCAGGGCACCAAAAATCAGTATCATCAAAAATCCCAGTGGAATGTTCAAGTGTCTTTTTTGTGCCTTTCAGGAATTAGAGTTTTGTTCATTGGGTTTTGACGTTTCTTGTTGAGTTTATTATTTTTATGATTTTTGTAAACAGGGTTTCTTTCTCATCCACTGTTTCTTCTAATGAGTTATTTGTGGATATGAAAGGTGTTGATTTTCATATGCCCACTTTCCTGTACCACCACCTTGCTCAGTTCTTTGATAGTTTGTCCGTTGGTTTTCTTAAGAGTTTTCCAGGCAGATTCTCACAGATGTGGAAAATCGAGGCGGTCTTGCTCTTTTCCACTCTGCCTCATGTTGCTCTCGGGTCCAGTTTCAGGCTGATGCCGCCCGCAGCCCTGGAGGTCCAGGCTCTCGGCCCCCCTGACCTTCTGGGGCTCTGGCCCTTCCTTGTTTCCCGGGACGCGTTAGCCCTCTGTGTGACCTTTGATCTGAGGAGCGGGAGGCGGGTGGTCTCACCCCTTCCCCTGCCTGAGCTCTGGATGGGCAGTGCGAACAAGCCTGTGGGCAGGGTTCTTCTGCTCTCTCCCACCCACTGGCCTCACCCTCTGCCTCTGCTCAGGCCCAGCCTGCCTTTCTGAGGACAGGTTGGCGCATTCTGGAGTGGGGCTGGGTGTCCTGGCCCTGCTCTGCCATGCGGGTGGGCGCTGTGGTCCGGGAGGGGGGCTGTGCCCCCAGGCTCTGCGTCGCTGCGCCTTCCTCCCTGGCTCGTCCCCCCCTACGGGCTGTGCAGCCAGAGACCTCTGTGTGACGGCCGTTTCTCCGTTCTCGCTCCAGGTGCATGGCCGCCTCCTGACCGCTGGGCTTGAGGAGGCCTGAGGACGGGCGAGCGAGCCAGGCCGAGAGCAGCCCTGCGCCCGCCCGCGCCGCCCTCCCCGCGGGGGCCAGGATGCTGAAGAAGCAGACCGCAGGGCTGGTGCTGTGGGGCGCCGTCCTCTTCGTGGCCTGGAACGCCCTGCTGCTGCTTTTCTTCTGGACGCGCCCG